GGGATCGGGCCGGCCCTTGCAGAAGGAGCCTCAGAGGCACACTGAGGCAGGACGCGGGCAGCCAGGGCGCAGATGGCAGGGTCGGGGCCTGCGGGCATCACAGTCGCCACAGGGCAGTGCTGTGACCCAAGAGTCAGACTCCTACTGAAGCTCACGCACACATGCACACGCACACACGCGCACACGCACATGCACACGCACACTCACAGAGCCTTTCCTCCCATACCTGGAGGCCGTGGAGAGGCCCGGGGGGGGGGGGAGGGCGCTGCTCCAAGGGAAGGCTCGGCCTCAGCGGGAAGCTGTGGTGCGGGCAGGTGGGGGGACACGGCCTCCAGCTGGGCTGGGACAAGAGGGACAGGAGCTGTTTGCCCGGGAAGCTCTTGGGCAGTGTCAGGCCCCCCCACCCCCACCTGGTGATATGAGGGAAATGGGCAGAGAGGCCCCCCCGGCAGGGCGCGTCCTCAGGAAGACCGGCGATGGGGAGGGAAAGCAGCGTCTTGGAGGGTAAAGCGTCCAAAAAGCTTGGCGTGGCTTGACAGATAAGGTTCTCACCCTTTTTCCCTGCCACCCAAGGTAATTCTTTTTTTTTCTTAAGATTTTATTTATTCATGAGGGACACACAGAGAGAGGCAGGGACACAGGCAGAGGGAGAAGCAGCAGGTTCCATACAAAGTCCAACGTGGGACTCGATCCCGGGACCCCAGGATCACGCTCTGAGCCGAAGGCAGGTGCTAAACCACTGGGCCCCCCAGGGGTCCCAATTCTTTTTTTCGCTATTGCTTCTCAACATAGATGAAAAGGCCTTGACCCCAGCTCTAGGGATCGGCCGGGAGCAGGAGTGGAGATGGTCTTCAACAGGAGTCTTCCCAGAGTTCTCCGGTCTATGCTCACAGCACCCCCCCACCCCCAGCACCAGTTACGTTTTGCTCGCCTGGTGTGCGGCCGGCGCTGTGTCCCACCCAACTGAGTCCTCCCAGCCCCAGCAGGTGCCATTGGGCCCTTCCAGTCACCCATCATTGTGCTGCTCCCGGCCGGCGCCATGGCCTTCAGCGGCTCACCAAGGGCAGAGCCAGAAGGCGTAGGAGCTTTGCCCTCTCAAGGCGGCAGTGACGGAGGGATGTGGGAGTAGAGAAGCCTACACCCCTTGTCTACAAGTGGAACAAACTTTGAGATGTGCTTTTACTCCGGAGTTTCCCAAAGGTTCGGACTACGGCTGGAATCACTTAAAATTTCACCCCTGCTTGGCATCTCCTTCCGTGTCCCACTTTCCCACTCCCTTATTTTTTTTCCCCTTGGAGCACGTTCTTAATGTGCAAATAACTATTTGCATAGACATCTTTGTCTGAGGTTCTGGTTCTGGAAGTAGTCTGCCTTAGACAGCCCTTATTCATTCATTCGTTCATTCATTCATTCATTCAAAAATGTGCACTGAGTGTCTGAGAGCCTTTGTCCCAGTCCTGGGAAGAAGAGCAACATATGGTGAGGTAAAGTGTAACAACAGGCACCCTGGAGGGAAATGCGGGCCAGAGCGAGACTACCCATTTCTAAGCCAAGGGCAGCTTTTAATATATGAACCTACCATCACACCTGAAGAAGTGACCTACATGTAGCGGGTTCCCGTGGGTGCTGACGAAGCTGATCAGTCCTCGTCTCATAATGTTGACTGCTGGGAAGAGTCCAACGTTTATTTAGAAATGGATTTATTCGCATTTATTGGGCTCCTGCTGCGAGTTTCCAGTTTGAGAAACTGGGAGTCTAAGTACAATCTGAACGATGTGCACAATGCTGTAGAAGTCCCATGAAAGAAATCATAGTTTTCTGAGAAAACCAAAGGCTGGGTGCTGGAGAATAAGTGGAATGAATTGTGGACACAAGTAGAGAGAGGCGTTTTGGAAGGGCAGTAGCTAAGTCCACAGAAAGCGGGTGTGCAGAAGCGCTGGCAGGTCTGGGAGGGCATCGTGTGGGGACGGAGGCAGGGCTCCCGGGCAGGGCAGAGGCAGGGGACTGGAGATGACCCTGGGGGTACAGGTCGGAGCCCCGCAGCATGGTTGGCCTTACTGCACAGCCCTAGCCTGCAGCCACAGTGAACATTCAACGACGTGTAGGATCGCCAGGGGTTGCATTAGGAATAACAGGGAGGGCGCCTGGGGGGGGGGCTCGGTGGTTAGGGGAGGGACTCGGGATTTTGGCCCGGGTCATGTTGTTGGGGTCGTGGGATGGAGCCCGGGGTCGGGTCCCTCAGCAGGACGTCTGCGTGACACTGTCTCCCCCTCTGCCCCGCCCCCACTTGTGCTCATGCTCTCGCTCTCTCGTTCTCTATTGAAATAAAAAGTGATAATCAAGATAATACGAAGGATGCAGTCAAGAGGAGAAAGACTTGGGTCAGGACATCTATTGACTAAAAGACTGTTACTAGGTTAAATGATAAATAATTTCCAATATTTTAACCAGTTTTGATCCAACAACAATGTGGGTTTCACGTAGATCCATGGGGCTCACTAGGCCAGGAGGACTGAGGGCGCCGGTCAGAGCAGTGGCACCATCTGGAAGGAGGGGGAAGGAGGAGACACACGTGGGACCGACAACTGGCCTGCAGTGAGCAGCCCCCGCCAGGGCCAGGGTGGGGCTGCAGAAACATGCATGACAGTGAGGGCAAGCTCCGTGGGCACCCTGGGTGTGTACCCAGGACCCTGGGACCCCTACACACGCTACACACCTCACCTTCAGGGCTTCAGGGCTTCCATTCCTGCCTTTTTTTTTTAATTGAAGTTAGGTTTGCCAACATACAGTGTAACACCCAGTGCTCACCCCGTCAAGTGCCCGTCACCCAGTCACCCCATCCCCCCGCCCACCTCCCCTCTACAACCCTTTGTGTTTCCCAGAGTTAGGAGTCTCTTATGGTTTGTCTCCCTCTGTAATTTTCCCCACGCAGTTCCCCTCCTTGCCCTATAATCCCATTCACTGTTTCTTATATTCCCCGAGTGAGTGAGACCCTGTGATGATTGTCCTCCTCCGACTGACTCCCTTCACTCAGCATCATCCTCTAGTGCAGCCACATCGAAGCCAATGGTGGGTATCTGTCCTGACGGCCGGGTCACGTTCCAGGGTATATATAGACCATCTCCTTTATCCCTTCCTGCTTTTTAAGGATTTTAAAAAGAAAAAAACATCTCTGTATTCCTCATGGGCCTCAGATTTGCAAACCTGAGCTGGAGGGGTGCAGGCTGCAGGCCTCGGACCGCCAGGCTCCTCGCTCCCGTGGCTCCTGCTGCCCGGCCTGGATGCACACCTGACACCCAGGTTCCCAGCAAGGTAGACCGGCGGGTGACGCAGCCCTGCTCGGAACAGCCGGCCTCCAGACCCTGACCTGGGCAGCCCAGCAGCAGGGGAGGCACCTGGGTGGCTGTAGCCCGGGCCCCACAAGCCAGGTCGTCCTTCACCGGGGGCGCAGGGGGTTCGGAAAGTCATAGGGAACAAATACAAAAATCCGAGAGTGGGTTTGTTGTTGTTGTTGTTGTTGTTGTTTTTTCTGACTCTGACCTCAACACTGATCACACCCCCAGAGCCACAGTATTTCTGTTAAAAGGGCCACTAAACTTCTTCTGTTTGCACTGAAATAGATCTTAGCCAAAGTGTAATTTGTGGTGCAAAGAAGACGTTTTATTGTCCTGCAAACAGCACTGCTTTCCTAAAACAGACACGATCTATTGTGTAATAGTGTCAGACACTGGAGAACTACACGTCTGTGTGGGTAGCGTATGTGACTTATGCTACGTGACATGGGTAGGCGCGCTGTTGGAGTGATCTCAACTAAACTTTTGAGGAAAAAAATGCCCTAGGAATCCAATAAAAAAGACTGACTAAGAAAGCACTGAATTTCATTTCTTTCTGCCTTTTCCCTGTAATGCTTCTTTGCGAGGACTTAATTTCATTCTGCTGTGTCTCGTAAGAGAATTAGTAAGAAATGTAGACAGAGGAAATATTTTTTTTCTTAGTATTTTTCATTGAATCCAGTGAATTGAAGCTGTTATTTGTAGAGTACTGTTCAGGGATGGCCCTAGCCAACTGTACGGCATCGTTCATTCAGGCCACAAAGGCTCGCTGTCCATGACCTACGTGCCAGGCGCTGGGGTAGCTGCCACCGCACAGTGGTGGGCAACACCAGGCATGGTCCCTGAGCTTGTGAAACTCACAGTCTAGAGATAACAACAGATACACAATAATCACAAAAAATAATTCTTGCTTCCAAACTATCATGAGTTCTTGAAAAGAAAATAGTGGGTATGACGTAGTGGGGGGCCAGTCCTAGTCAACAGGAGAGCCTCTGAAGAAGTGATATTCCACGTTGAGATCGGAAAGGCAAGTAGGAGTCAGCCAGCTGATGAGGGAATTGGAAGAGCAATTCCAATTGCTCTTCCAGAGGGAGCTTCAAGGGCGAAGGCAGAGGGAGCTTCAAGGGCGAAGGCCCTGAGGTAGGAAGAAGGACGACAGTGTTCACGACCTTCATAGATGGCCAGCGTGGCCGGGACAAACGGCGCTGGAGTTCCAGCAGAGGTGGGATCGGACAGGACCTTTGAGGTCATGTTAAGGATTCTGGTCTTTATCCTTTTTAAGAGCAACAGAACGTCACTGAAGGCTAGAAAGTGGTGGGATGGGACTCACCTCCACCAATCCTTTGAGGCCGGCGAGTTTTTATTCAGTATTTCACAAGCAGTGTGATAACTGCTCTCAGGACTTAGAAGTCACAGAAGTCATGGTCGCCACCCTTAAGGAATATTTGGTGTGAAATCGTAGCAAGAAATAGAGGGTGGCTCAAAGCTGGGAGGCAGAAATGGGAAGATAAGATCGAAAATGTCTTCACCCAGATGGCTACGGCCGATGCAAGCTGATATGTAGATTTTTGGTTCTGCTTTTCTTTAAAAGGCGGTCAAGAAAGAGTCGTCGGACAAAAGGAATGAGCATCATTATTCTGTCCACTGACACCCTCTGTCTGTCCACAGATCAGACACCACACAAACAGCTACGCAGCCAGCTCCACCTCCTTACCCCACCAGGGCTCCTCAACCTTGATGTGGAGTGACCAGCCGGAAAGGTGAGACTGAGACACCGTCCAGGTTTGAGGCCTCGCCTGCCCCCACCTCTGCTCTGATCGTGTTCGTGTGACAAGGATGGACTGTCCCCAAGAATCAAAGTGCAAATTCAGCACACGTCCCCGATTCTGGAGGCCCAGGCTCCCGAGGGAGGTCGTTGCTGTCTTGACAAGCCCACTTCCACCTCCTCCAGCGCACGTTCTCGCCTGGCTGCAGGCCGCTCCTGGGACTGGGCGAGTCTGCGTGTCACTGCTTTTCTCATACAAAGAACAGAGCCCAGGACTAGTCTAAGGCTAAGCGATCCTGCTCTGATTTAGCACCAGAGCTCAGCGCGCTCCCCACGTGGTTGGCGCACTCTTGCTCGCCCCGGACTAGGCCTGTCTGGGGTACAGCGGGTACTTCAAGGGGTGGACGCTCTAGAAAGCAGAGCGTGAGGCCGAATACGATAAGTTAGTCATGTCAGATTTCAAGCACCAGCTTCCTCCCTCAAACCCCTTATTTCATCATTCCTGTACTGACTGTGGGGCTACGGGAACGCCATCAGGGTGTGATTCCATTGGGTGATCTTTTGTGTTTTAATGAAAAGTGAAAAGCTTTAATTATTTTTTTTCCCAAAAACAGCACACTTGGCTTCTCAAGTAAGCTGAAATCTCCATTGTAATGGACAGTGTGCATGTTCATTTTTCTCCGTCCCCTGGGTGAGGCTGGGCACGAGGCCTCTGCTCCTCCGTGTGTGTGGTGAAGGTGGATGTGGACATTTAGGTGGCTCAGTGTTTTTGGACGTTTGTCCTCCTGTGGTCGAAATAACTGAAAGATAATCACTTGAGTTCCTCAGGGGAAGATGGAAATGTAGTTTTTCATTAGAGGTACAGTGTGCGGCGATGCCTAAAGGATACCAATAAACTAGAGGATTCTGGAACATAGCTCAAAAGTCTCGAGGCCAATAGACTTTTTCCTCAACTCACCTTTCTGGTCCTACATCCTTCCCTTAGTTATCTACATGTGACACACCTATCCTGGGCACTCTTTTTGCTATACACGCAGATTTCCTTGGAAAACAAATGAAGGGAAAAGAAAGGAGATACTTAGTTCCTATCTCTTTATTGGTAGGCTCACCCTAATTTCATTTTTAATTTTTTAAAGTAAATCCTATTGTCCTTTCCTTGCATTATGAAAATAAGCCAGGCTCTCTATAGACACTGCAAAATAAAGTAAATTACTAAATTTTACTTTCACTACTCAAGTATATGTACTCTCATACAATTAAGAATGATCTTTGTCTAATTAGTTTAAAATCGATGGGAAGATAGTATATGTCAGTATAAAATACTTTTGATGCTTTCATTTTTAATCCACAGAAATGTATCCATTTCATACTAAATTCACCCCAAATAGTAAGTTCTGTGACCTATGTTCAAATATTCTGTATCATGATTTAGCAACACACTGATTTCTAACCCGTGCTTTCATCCTCATTTTTTAAAAATTATCTTCCATAAACATGGATTCTCATTATTATGTGATGAAGTTACATTGAGAATAGAACTAATCCTCAAAATAAGACACATTTCTGCCAAAAAGAGTGGGGAAATGGGACCTGATCTTCAGTTTTATTGTAATTATAGAGCCTACCGTAAAGCTCTGCGGAGTACACATGCGAAACAAATCCATGATATTAATATGCTTTGCAGCTGAGTTGTATAGACGTGGCTCCTGTCTACATATAATATATTCTGTGTAATTTTAGGCATATGGCTTTTAGGTTGTAAGAACAAACTCCTGCCTACTCCCACCTCCATCCTATTGCAGATACTGTGCTTTCATACACACCACTGCAGGCCAGTGTGAAACAAGCAAACAAAACGACAAGCAAACGAAAACACGCACCCAGCTCTGCTGCCCCCAGGAGAGGTTGGGCCAGGGTATTGCGTGAAGAGGAACGGCATAGAGTAAGGGCGAGGTAAGGGAACAGCATTAGGTTCAGAAGATTAGGCTTCCATCAGAAGCTACATTTACCCAAATTCTCCCAAAGAAGGAGCAGAAAATTAGCATCACTATCTTTTATATGTAAATGTGTATACGTGGCTTACAGTTATAAGTGGACTTGGGTCCACGAATTACACGAAGATGCCGACAGAGTTGAATTGCTCCACACTATTACTGTCCACAACAATGACTTTTAAAAATTAAATACATGATAAAACCCACGTTATAAAGGAACCATATAAACTAATTAAGAGAACAAAGTTTCTTTCAACATCCTCAGTAGTTAGAAGCTCATTCAAAAGAAACCTATTGGTAAGAGAATGGTAATTACCAGGTACCTTACGGATCTGTATAAGATACACCTTTTCTTGACATACTTTACATGACTATGAACACTTACATGTGTAGTTACTGTCTTAAAAATATTTGTGCTCCTATTCTTAATTAATCCAGGCTTTTACTGAATATTTTGTTAATTCGAAATAGCTCTAGGCTCATACCATGGATAAAAGTGTTTTTCCATTTCATTCAGGTTCTAGGGCTTTATTTTTTTTATTATGTGATGTGCCTTTTATATAAAAATAATTTGTACAAAATGTATGTTTAAGAGCTTTTATAGTTTGCTTTAATAAAATTCTCAACCATATTGTAAGCTCCTGTGGGCAGGACCCATATTGTATGTATCTCATGTACCTATAGAGCCTAGAACAGTGCTAAGCTCATAGCAATCACTCAATAAAAGAAAGTTGATGGAGAGGCTAAGAGACCAGATTGCAATCTATGAGTAATGTTTAAGACAACCAGGTATGCACACTTTGGGTCAGGGTAGACGACCGTTTCTCTATTGACTTTTCCTCTTTGATATTATGCCATTAAAAAAATAATTCTAGTACAGTTAACATACAGTATTATATTATTTACAAGTATACAATACAATGATTCAACGATTCTATACATTATTCATTATTACTTCTCCCTCTGGTAACCACCAGTTTGTTCTCTATAGTTAAGAGTCTGTGTTGTACCATTTTGACTGGTCTTTACATTTGAGCGGTACAAGGGAGTCTTTTTTATACTTCTTGAAGAAAACAGCTGTAAATATTTGTTGAGTATGAGATGGTTACTTTTAGAAAAAGAGTAAATGATATAAATATAAGCCTGCATATAAAATAACTTGTCGTTTAGTTAGCTATATCATTTCTTCTTACCTTAGTATAGGAGCTGAATTTTAACTCTATACCTAGAAGTAAATTAAGCTATTGCTGAAAATGTAAAGCCTGTGAAATAAAATGAACATAAATTGCAGATACAAAAACAGTAGAAAATTTTCATCTTATGGATTCTTTGAGCATAGTTCTCTCTCTCTCTCTCTCTCTCTCTCTCTCTCTCTTTTTTGGAAACAAGTACACCAGAGCCTTAGTAAATTAACAACAGTCTTTAGCTGATTTCTTAATGAAAGTTAGTAATTGTTGATTATCGTTTTTATCAGTTTATTGATTTAACTTACAACTTAAATGTTGAATCCTTTGAAATGCTTTGAAAATGGGCAAGAAATATTTGTGCGACATTATGTTGAGAAAATACTGTTGTAAATGGTAGGTGGACACAGAATATGTGAGAGCTTAAGCACCGAAATGCTCTGGCACAGAAAGGGCAGAAGAAATTATAGCCCAAGGAAACACAATGCCACTACAAATGCAAGATTAAACCAGAGACTACTAACAGAAATGAACGAATAGAACAGAGGGATGTAAATTTGCTACAGGACTGAGCAAAGTACGATTCAGTAATATGTGCTTCATAAATACTTGCTGACTGCTGCGGTGGTGGTGTGGGCGGTGCTGCGGCTGGTGGTGGTGAAGAATAAGATATTCAAGCAAAGTTAAGTGAATAACATACTAAGAGAATAAGCAGGAAATGGGAAAAAGATAAGATATTCTTAATAAGACTCTAGGACAAAGGAAAATAATTAAACAATTGAGTTTATCTCTTTTCTCTATATCTAACCATCTTTTAAGTTCTGTTAAATCTACAGATATTTCTTATTGGGTCTCCTCATGGGCACTGCCATGGTCTAAGTCTACACCTCCATCATTTCCCACTTGAATTACCCTAGAAACGTGGGTCCTACATCTGGTCTTGGGCTCATCGATTATCCTGCACATATGCTGCCATTGTGATATTTTGTTAATAAATTGAAAATCTGTTCGTATTATTTTCCTTAATCTCCGTGGTATTTTCCTATGGCCTCCAGGATAAGGTTAAAACAACTTAATTTAGTTCAAAGGGCTTCTGGTGTCCTCTTTCACATCTGCCTTGTTTTCTAGCAACACCAAACTGCCATCTCACAGCTTCACACATGCTGTTCCTTCTATGCTGGATACTCCTTTCTCTTCTGTACGTGGTTAAAACTGACTCATCTCTCATGAGTTTCAGCTCAAGTATCACTTCTTCAGAAAGTCTTCATGACAAAAACATCTGTTTCTGCTGTAATTTGCTGGCTTATGCACCTAACTTCTTGGCATGGCCAAGGCAGGGAATCTGGTTTTCATTTCTGTGTCTGTTGTATGACATAGACTTGGCATTCAACAAGTCCTTGCTCATGAAAGAAAGAGCAGAAAGAAGATGTGCAGCAATGGGCTATGAGTTTGAGCAAAAGTAATAATTCAAGATAATTCAAGGCCCAAACCGTACATATGTTACTTATGTACGGCAGTCAGCCACACTCTGAATAACCATTCAATGCTTGGCTTTCCAGGCACATAGGTTTATATTTATACTTGGCGTTGGCAGAGATTCTGTGGAGGTAACAGACAAAGCTGGGAGAGAGTGCCACAATCTTATCTCACTTGGCAAAAGTTTAAATGCGATCTTAGAAACTCAAGGAGAAACGAACAAACTGAAATATTGCTCTCCAACTTGATCCAGCATTTCTTCAAAGGCAGAAGAGTGTGGTCTTGTAGAGGCAGCTCAGGCTTTAAAGTTGGACAGTCCTGGGTTTGAATCCTGATCGGCACTAGGGAATGATGTGACCTTGAAGATTCTGTATTTAACCTCCCTTAGCCTCAATTTCATTATTTGCAAAACAGAGTAAGTAACGCCCATCCTGCAGGGTTGCTGCAAAGATTAGAGATGCCATGTGTGAGGCCATTATGCCATGTGTGAGACCAGTGTAAGTACCCTTTAAAAAAAAAAAAGCCCTTTACAGGATGCCTCAATTTTGAGTAAGCAGCTGGAATTTGGATCTGAGAGAAAGGAACACATGTGCACCCAAGCAGCGCATAGCCTAACAGGGCCCCAAGCAGTTTTGTTATAAGCTCTTCGCAAATCTCCAATTGTCCTTTAAAGAGTTAACTCGAATTACCATCAAGCCAGCTGCTGAACCCATGGGATTTCCTCTGCAGGTGCCAGCAAGAATAGTCCTGCAAAAAATGAGAAGGTAGTTTTGAAATAAAACTCACACATAAGTACTTGTGACCTTAAAGAGGAAAGAGCCTGAGGCTACAGCCTCCGTTTATATTCAGAGTAATATGTGGGTTTCGGGCTAGTCAGGAGCAGAAGCCATGGAGTTGCCAGTAAAGGCTGCATCGTCTGGGCCTATTTCAGGTTGTCTGGACTGCAGCATGGCACCAGAGCCAGTTGGTAGGAAGAGAGACTGTCTCCCAGGGCATCTGTTCATGAAAATAAGGAGTGAGGTTCTGTGGTTGGCTTAAAGGGCAAATGGATTAGGGTTACAGGATCCAGGAGTTTGCTAATGATCTTTGGAATTCCCTGACTTGTAGTATATCACCCCACAGAAGGTCTCCTTGTGTGTCTTATGTCCTATTTTCTTCTTTTTATAAGAACACCAGCCATAGTGGACCAGCCTATTGCAGAATGACCTCACGTTTACAACTGGGTCTGCAATGGCTCTATTTCCAAATGAGGTCACATTTTGAGATACTGGGGGTTAGGACTTCAACATATGAATTTGATTAGGGGTGAAGGAGACATTTCAACCCATAAGAGATGTGTTGATTGGTTTAGGAAGGAAGCCAAATGTAAACTCCAAAATAATAAGACCTAAAATGATGCTGCCTCTGGATTTATTGGGTTTAGGGAACGAATAAAAAACTCAGCGATGCATGCTAGCCCTGGCTCCAATTAGGAACGATAATTCAAGAGTGATCATATTTCTGACACTGAAATATCTGTACGTTTTTCCAGTAAATAAATAAACAATACAAAGCTCATAAACAAGTGTTAGGAAAGATATTTGTGTTGTTTGTACCGGATTATAAATGATCAAATTAGACTAAAGCCAAATTGCTCTATTTATGTTGGAAAGAGTAGGAGGTTGTAGGAGTTCCTGTACTTAAGTTATCAACTCAGGTTGATTTTACTGCTTTGAACAGTCAGATTTCTTCCCCGGTCGTTTCCAAAAAAAAGTCTTCACCTAGAGATGGAAGTTTTAAGGGAAGCTAAATGCTACCCATTTAAAAGAGGATAGTTAAGAGACGCCTGGGTGGCGCGGTCTGTTGAACACAGGATCCTTGATTTTGGCTCAAGTCGGGATCTCAGCGTCATGAGATAGGGCCCAGTGACAGGTTCTGCACTCAGAAGGGAACCGGCATGAGATTTTTCTCTGCCTCTGCCCCACCCTCTGCGCTCTCTCTCTCTCTCTAGAAATAAATAAAATCTCTAAAAAAAATAAAAATAAAAATAAAAGACTTCAAAAGAGCAGAACAGGCCATTGTACCTCTGCTTTAGCTGCTAATTAAAGTCTCATCTCGGGCTGAGGGTCAACTGCCCCTCCTAGTCTCTCTAATGTCAAGGTCCAATTGTTGACATCGGTTCGTGATGGAACTTTGGAGGCCTCTAAAGGCTGTTCATGATCACATTGAACTTTGTTCAGCCTTTGTTTCTGATGCACATATTGTTAATCTAATCCTGACTTAACGGTTGTGCCAATAAATTGCATTGAATGTTCTTTTTATTTCACCACTGTATTTACATACCACCCCCTGTACTTTTCAAAAAGCAAAATAGTGGTTCACAAGACATGTACTTATGTTCCAAGGAAGTGATGCAATTGCTTTTGGCAAAATAATGAAAGTTTCAGCATAGTTCTAAAGTTCTCTTTGTATCAACATTTCTCGCTGTGTTTTCAGTTAGAGTGGGAGATTTTGCCAACAACCGGCTGTTACTAATCTGGTTCACAGCTGAATAAATCATTTTCTTGAAAAGGTTCCCCATCAAAACCTAACTATAAATGCCTATAATAACCCAGGGTATCTATCTACACACCCCTGGTTATAGGAATTAGAGGAGCTGCAGATATGATCCATTGACAACACCTACCATGTACTTAATAATCTCACATTTCACATTTCGGACTCTGAAACTATAAAAGGAAGTAGCCCTTCTTTAGGGCAGAGATAGCTGTCCACACCTGCAGATGTTCTCCTCTCAGGCGAGGATGGAAACAGCTCCTGGGAGTGGCATAAATGGGAAAAGTTTAGTTAAGACCAATCTGAGACTGGGCACTGGGAAATTCCTCTGTCTCTTAGGCTTACATGAGATATCTGGTCAGTTGTCTAAAAAATTAATGTGGAATTGTGTAGAGAAAGGCGACCAGTGGCCCTGAACTATATTTCTGTAGTAACTCCAGTGATGAATACATGATAAAATCAAAACAGAACTTAAAGTCTTTCAAGCGGGAGGTTCTTCTTTGTGGACCAATGACCAATGTCTGATGATATTATTACAAGTGTTACAAGAAGTTTTTATGTCTCTTGTGTCACTACCTGGGAAAGAAGATGGGACAAATGACTACAAGTGCTTCCAGTCTCTACTGATAGAACAATATCAGATCAGAGAATGTCTCCATCACATTTTAGAACCATTCTTAATAAAGATTTTTCTTCTTCTTCCTCCCTTGTCCCCTCTCTTGCCTGCCTCCCTCCTCCTGTTTTTCCTTCCTTCCTTCCTTCCTTCCTTCCTTCCTTCCTTCCTTCTTCCTTCAAATATTTATTAAATTACTGAATCTATTTGATTGTGTGCTACTAGGGAATAGGAGTTAGAGAATGATGTGAATCTATATAATGCAAAGGGAAAGAAGTGACATATTTAAGGTTTACAATATATAAGGGCTTCATGTTCACTATCTCATATCATGCTGCCCTTCCACGAGACTGTTATTGTAAACTTCTATTTTAGAACTGAGAAACTTGAGGCCCATCTCTGGAATAGGGCTTGATTAACTCACTTTCCCGAGGTCTATAACTTTAGATGGTGGGGATTCCTATTCCAACCCAGGTTGCTTGGCTACAGAGCTTGGCTGTTTTTTTTTTTTTTTAAGATTTTATTTATTTATTCATGAGAGACAGAGAGAGAGAGAGAGAGTCAGAGACACAGGCACAGGCACAGGGAGAAGCAGGCTCCCTGCAGGGAGCCCGATGTTGGACTCGATCCCAGGACCCCAGGGTCATGCCCTCAGTGGAAGGCAGATGCTCAACCACTGAGCCACCCAGGGGTCCCTGGATCTTGTGTTTCACTGTAACCTTCAAGAGGTTCCCAATGCTTAAAACTGCCAGCAAATAGATAAAATGCTGGTAATTATATTAGCTATAAGAAAGCAATTATGGAAATGATGGGATTTAAAAATATAGCACCCCCTCATGAATAAATAAATAAATCTTACCAAAAAAAAAATAAATAAAGACTAACCAGGAGAGCTGCCCAGCTCAGAAGACCTAACAAGTTACAGGTATCCTCTTTGTCGTCTTGGGTTCAGGTTCATTGCCCTTCTCCACCTAAGTCTCAAAATACTATGTTGGAGCTTTAGTCTTCTAATGTAGGCTAATTCCTATGGAAACACAGCTATTTTAATGAATGATATAATAAGAGCAGTTTGGGACAGTGGAGTGGGAGGAGGGCAGAGAGCCTCAGGTACACAGAAAGGGACAAAGAGGAGGGCTCAGGACTAGGGAGGAGCGTTTGGGGAGAGAAGGGGAAGTCAGAAGGGATAAATGACAGGTTTTTTTCCCCCATTTCTGCAGATTATTCAGATCCAGTCCTTCCTACATGGATATGTCCTTCTAGATTTTCAGTTTATTGACTGTTACCCTTCTCAAAAATGCCTATTCTCATTGAACATCATCTATGGTTTGGCACCCCGCTAGGCACTTGACAAATTGTCACAGCACACTTATGTTATTGTCCTTTTTTTTTTTTTTTCAGCTGAGAAAAAGAGGGATCAGAGAGCAGGCAAAGTAAAAGAAGGATGAAAAACAGGGCCATCTGAATGCAGACCTCCTGACCTCCTGCCAATTGTACCGTGTGCCATACTTCCCTTCACAAGCATGTGAGGGAACCCTCCCAAGGCAAGAAAATGACGTTATACTCTAGCAGCAGCAGTGACAACAAATATTAGTTTCCCCAAATATTAGTTTCTTAAAACCACAAAAGCTCTTATGCACCGCCCCCGCCCCCCGCCCCAGCCTGTCTGTTGAAAGTTGGGCGAGGAGACTCAGCAGCAAGCCACCCTCATCAGAGACTCGGGCTACCCTAGGGCTTCCAACAGGGCTGGAGCCTGCAGCAGGGAAGGGAGAGCCCTGGAGCAGCACCCACCCACTTCTAGAGCAAGGGGTACTCGGGGCCCACTGAAGGGGTGAGGGAGAGGATCCTGCCACGTGCGAGATAAAGGAGAAATGGAAGGTACTAGAGCAGCACTACTATGCACACCAGAACCTCAGTAGTTAAGAGTAGAATAAAAATGAAGAAATTAATGGCAGAAGGACTTCGGCTCCTTTTTTGACTCCAAGCGCGGCTTATTTTAAGCCTATTTTGTGTGTTGACTTACTTGCCCGGCAGAGAGTTTCAGCAAGCAGCGCCATTTTAAATTATGGGGAGATACGGGCATATTTTTAGCAAAGCTGAAAAAACAGGTTGGTCATGGAAATTATCCAGTTTAGACATAACAGGGTATGGCTCACAGTTGCTACAAATTGCTGCTTTAGCAAATGGAAAATTTTTCACACGCAGGGGGTTAACACAGCAGTTCTCTGGAAGAAATGCAAGAGTGCTTAGGTACTTTGTGCAGAACAGAAGAGTCTGGAGTGCTTGTGGGACTTGGTGCCCTTTTTCCGATGAAATGGAAGTCATGGATTTGTGAACTAAAAATATCTCCAGGCCGTCCAGGTTATTAAAGCGTGTTCTTTTTCGAAGATTTTTATTTATTTATTTATTTGAGAGAGAGAGAGAGAGAGAGAGAGAGAGAGAGAGAACCAGTTGAGGGATGTCAGAGAGGAAGGAGATGGAGAATCTTGAGCAGGCTCCAACCCAGTGCCAGGCTTGATCTTCCGACCCTGAGGTCATGACCCGAGCAGAAGCTAAGAGTCTCAAGCTCAACTGACTGAGCCATCCAGGTGCCCCTATTAAATTCTAATTCAAAATCTTTAGACTGGCAAAAGCTTCTACTTTTAGGATTCTGTAAAACTTACATTGACCTTGAACCACTAGAGCCAGTGAGTATGGCGCATGGGACAGGCTTTAAGGAAGGGTGGGATTCCAAACCCCCCTACCGGAGTTATCTCCCGTAAGAGCCTTAGTTAATTTCCTATTCTCATCTGTTAATGCGGGAGATAGTGATAAGTCTACATGGCAAGTACCACTGTAAAATGTATTTCTTCCTCCAAAATATATCGTGACCTTGTTCACCACTCTTCATCTCGAATACTCCCATTCGAATTCACACAGAACTCATCTCTCAACTGGAACACCACTGAGAGCCTCTTCATGATGCTTCCTCTTCTTTCTCCAGCCCATTCATTACTCGGTAGACATAGGGATCGTTCTCACCCCAGGACTCTTGCACATGCTATCCCACTTCCAACCCCCACACCCCACCCCCATTTTCTGCATATATATAGCTCTGTCTCTTCCTTTGGTCAATAGCTTAAGTACTTTCTCAAAGCCGTTTTTCTTTAGCTTCCTATCGGTAGTTGTTTCCTCTTGTTTTTTGCTACCTTAGCTCATTTGTTTCCTTCATTGTGCCTACACCGATTTATAACCTGGTTTTCCTTTTCTGTTTACTTCTTCCTTTGTTTTCTGTCCTTGAATATGAGTTTCACAAGAGCAGAGACTGGCTTGATCTTACCCATCCTTGTCTTTACTAGGCACATTGCAGGTGCCAAAATAATGAGCAAAGGTGTGATGAGCAAAGGGAGCATGGAGAGGAAGTGAGATAATTCAATGAATCTTTAAGCACCTGGGTGGCCCCCAGTATCAGCATTCCGTCCCTTTTCTTTACCATGGCTGCCCAATCAGTCTATGCCTCCTCTTTACATCTCTCAGCTGCAGGTACACCGATGTGATTCCTTATCACGTAGAAATGTCCTAGGAACCTAAAGTAAAAGGCCAAAAGTAGAGAAATAGGGGAACAGAAAAGGTTACTCTTGACTTTGATATATTTGTCTGTTCTACATCTGTGCTTTTGTGGGTTATCTACTGACACCCTTACATGATCTTTCCTGTGCCAAATTTAGAGATTTGTAGTCAACTACCAAACATTTATTTCTTACTATCTTTTCCTATAGGGTAGGCAATACTTCCAAATTTGTCTTGAGCAGCGGTGTTGCAAAATTATTTGACTATTTAATGACATTTTCTCTTGTTATTTAAAAAACGAGTGGAAAATGAAAATATAAATATGCATAAGCTAGTGAAAAAAAAGGTCAGAGTGAGAATACAATTAAGGCAAGGGTGACAATAATTCAGCATATAATGGATGGTTAACATTTAGTTGTTTGGGACACTTTGAAATTAAATTGATTAATAGTATACTTACAAAAGAAAGGAATAAATTTAAAGAATGGCATGAAGTGCTAGATTTATTATCAAGTATTATGCCTAAAAGGTTAGGCATAATTATGAAATTTTTATCAATTCCACAGAGAGGAATTGAAAGAATTCCACTCTAAAATGCATCTCTTGCACGTTTGGCTTTCTTATGTGTTTTTAGTCTGATTTTGTCTGAAAGCAGATTGTTCATGCTCCTTTTCCCTCCTGGAGGATGGACAAACCCACTCCCTGAGTTTACTTATGGGGAATTTGTGACTCAGTGAGGGGAAGAAACTAGTCCCACAAGCCTGCTTCAGTTCTTTCTCATCATTTGCCTGAATAATTTTAGAGGCTAGGTCTGTAGGCGAAGGGACCAGTGTTTATTTATTTAAAAGTAGCCCTTCATAGTTTGGGACTAATATTCATTTATAAATGGTGTCTGTTTGGGGATAGGAAACATTTACCAGTGGACAGCCAACAGTTCTAGATGCATGGGAAGAAAGACTCGTAAGGCGTCTTCTGCTTTTGATTTCTTCTTGGTTAATTTATCCCTCCATAGGCTGCAGGGTGGTTACTTCACTTGTTTCTTTTTAGGAAGAATAAAGATCAACTGGTGGAGATCACACCTTGTGTTTCTCAAACAATGCTACTTTAATGAATCAGGTCTAGAAGAATTTTTGTGACTCTCCCACAAGCCTGACCTGCTCCTCAACTCTTGCCAAGTTGTTCTGGAACATGCCTCTGCTCTTTGACACGTTCACTCTTTAGATTCGGTGGGTCCTGAGGTCACTGGACTTGGCCACGTTCTTAATATTGCTCTGGACTCGCTGAATGAATGTTGGAGTCCTGCTCACATTTCTAGCATTTAATCCCCCACAAGCCTATCCCTCTTTTTCTTCTATCACCCACTGCCCTAAAGGCAATTACCATCCTCACTGCACGAGTATTATTTCAAGTTCTCAGTAGCCATCTGAGCTAGTGGTTACCTGATAGCACAGAAGGGCCCAAGGAACTGGTCCAGAGTATCCACATCTTCACTAGACTTCCCACCAGTTTCTCAGTTTCTTTCAGCAGATGACAACCGGATCAAAATATGAGCAGCCCAGGTTGGAATGCATCAGTGACCACCCAGCTCAAGCTAAGGCTTAGCACAAATGCCCTTGACATTTTTCTCTTTTCAGTTAATGGTGCATATCGTTGTTTTCCAAACTCTTTCACAAGGCTTACAAAATTCGCCATGACCTTTACCACGCGTCTAACTTCATCATTCCTTTCCCTTGAACTATACTCTCCTGAACTATTTTACATTTATTTCTTGATTCCAATTTTACACTGGCCATTCCTTGTCTGGAATATTCCTCCCTTCTCATCAATGTCTCAAGTATTTTCTGGTGTTGTGGGACACTTTAAAAGGAGGTGTTCATCCCCTTTGGACAACTTAGAGATGTGTGGCTAATTTAATGTTATTCGACTATTCACATCATTCAACATCAGAAAGCAATTGAGGGCATAGGAGAATGTGGAACTGTATTTTGTACATGGAAAATTATGAAATGCCAAAGTTTTTAAGTGAAGACGTCTCAACCCTGGGGACTTAAACTGTTCCAAGGGTTTTGTAGGAAACAAACATTTTGTGTCTTTGTGTGTGTGTGTTTGTGTGTGTGTGTGTGTAACTCACTCCCATCACTTAAAACTTTTCTTTTGAGCCTATACCACACACTTGAAGAGGCAACGGAGGAGCTCTGCAGATAAGGTACAAAGTATATTAGAATCTAGTCCAATATTTAACTCTAAGAAAGTATTTCAATACCCACAGAGCCTTTGAGAAGCGTGCTCTGACCATCCTTGCTTATCATTCATGATCTCTATCTAGAGGAAACGTTTGGGGAACAGAGTCATCCACAGCAAGAGTAGGGCTGTCAGGAGCAGCACAGACATCTGACTCCTGCCTGGTTAGGAGCATTTAGTGATGAAACCACATTATAGCAAAGAACGCTAGAGTTGGAGTGCCCCCCTGAAGAACCTCCTATACTAAAATGTGTCGGACTAACACTTGATTGGCTATCAAATGTGAGCTTGCACCTCACCTACACTGTCTCTTCATTGTCTCCCCATCTCCATGTTTGGGGTACAGAGACTGAGGACAAAGGTCTCTACAGGAAATGTCTCCACTTTATGACAGAAGTACAAGGATCCTTTTCTGACATGTTTGCTGAAGACTGGAGAATTTACCCTGATGCACACCTTTCAGATTGATAAGAAGGTGGAAACAAAATTTAGATTTTGTAATATGCTTATAGTTGCAACATCATCCTGAAGCTGCAGTCACTATAACAAAGATTTCACGATACCATTCAATAGATCCCAACTTGACCAAGATCAGAATATCCATCTTAATTTCAGACACTTGAACCGAGAACTCACAAACTTAATTAAGCCAAGAATGCAGACTGACTTGAGAAATTACTCACAATTCAGATTAAATGCCTCTGATCATTTTTCTTTCTCAGTTCCTGCAAGGTCTACTTCATTAAACATGCTTATCTGTTTCTGTATAATTAAAAAAAATATCCTGTAAGGGAATGAAGTACATAAAAAAAAATAATCAAATATACTTGTTAAACTACTTGTGTATGAAGTTGTGCCAGTTTCCATTCGTGGTAATTAGGTCATGTCTCTCCACTTTCTTTAAATATTACAATAATGAGTGTAAATTAGTACATTGCTATTTTCAAATTAATGGCAACACATAAAACTCAATGTTCAACTTTGTAGGGAGTGTTGGTTTTATATAACAGGACCCCCAGGCGGTAAAGCATGGTCCAGGCTCTGTCTCAGGCGCTACAGGCAAACCCTACTATCGCCTCACACTGTGTCCGGAGCCCCCACTGAAATCCATGATTGTGTTCTCTAGCACTTACATTATGTTTTGATTATTATGAACATTTAAAAAAA